GCTATCTCGTGGCTAGTACTCGAGGACCAGTCGCACGACATTACCGCCCGTTTTCCTTGCCTTTTATCTTCAAGCATAACCTCAAGCAACTTATCCAACTTTTCCTCAAGCGGAGCACTCGCTCCCGCGCTTCTCACTCCCCTTTCATTGCTTCTTCTTCCACTTCTAGTCAACCCCCAATCATACCCCCTAAGGGTCATGTCTTCTAGGATCTCGGTAATTTGGAGCGGAGCCATATTCATCAACTTCCCCTGACATAAGGAATCGATGAGGATCTTATCTTCTTGCATTAGGCCTCCGTAGAAGGATCTTATCTTCTTGCATTAGCACTCGCTCCCATGCTTCTCACTCCCCTTTCATTATCTTCTCTGCACCTGCTCTCTTGGTGACTCGCTCTCATGGACATGGAAGAGAGCATTGATTTGTATCATAGTCACTAGATCCGGCTTGATCTCGAAATTGTTTGCCGCCACCGGAGACTGAAGGATCGGCGATTGTATGTCCGTCGGCCTTGGGGTCATATAGTACCCCATCGTCCTCAAGGCTCCTTTTTCTCCCGCCTCCTCATTCATACGGCCGGCTTGAGCGGTTACATCTTGCCTTTGGTTCCCCGTCATTTCCTCTTCAATGACGGGCTCAACTTCCACTTCTTCAACTACTTCTCCACTAACACCGGGACCCAATTGTTGTCCCCCTCTTTCACTCCTTCTCCTTTCCTCGGCTAGCTCTCTCTCCCTTGCTAGGAGTCGGAGAGTTTGGTTTATGTCCTCGTCAAGTGGTAGCAAGGGCGCCAGGTTGCTCCGGGCCATGCACCTCCTACACACAATCGGAAAACCAAGTCTAACACAAGAAAAGAACATACACACTTGCTAAACTTTAAATTAAAAGCTACATTAACAACCAACAACTTTTTCAGAATAAGAGACCATTGTTCCTTGTCAACGGCGCCAAAAACTTGAATCGCACGAACTACGCCACAATTAAACCCCAATTAGAGCCCAAGTTTTTAAACTGTGATCCGGTGCAGTATAGGGCAAGTATTTATATATCGGCCCGAGCCGGTCCGTCTAACCCTACTTCGGTTGTTGGAATCATTATCTAGCGATAAAACTTTGGTTTAAAGATTTTCCAATTGAAATGAAAGAAAGCAAAGGTACTTTGGTTTGAAAACTCTTTTGCGGGAAAGTCACTTGGGTTTTGCTTCCCCCTAACCGCTACCATGCTATGTTGGTTAGAACGATTGCCTTGGGCATGTTAATCGTGAACCGCAGAGGAAAGGGTATGTGGTCAGAGACCACAGTCTCGATTGCTAAACCGAGGTGAGGATGATAGGTCGTGTCACTCGACCCTCTCGGTTTAGACAATCGGTAATCGGCTTACTCCCACACTCAACTCTAACGTCGGACGGTTAAACCATGATTAATCGGCGTGATCAACTCAATATTTAGGGTTGCCCTAACTCAACCTAGTTTAGGTGGCTTGGAAAGCGGAAGGAAAACCAACTCGATTGAGTCTTCCTTAACAAGGGGGATTTTCCTCTCTAAACTAGGCTAAGTTGGCAAATTAGATTACTAGCACCTAAATGCACAAACTTAGAGGTGCTAAGCACAATTATGCACAATCCTTAGGATGCTAATCACAAAATATGCATAACCCCTAAGTTGCTAAGCACAAGCATGCAAAATCATGGTGAATAATGCCTCAAACATTAAATTGAACAATACCCAATATCAATCATCCAACCCACATACAAGAAAACTACATGGTAGAGTTAGGGTTTCACTACACCCATATGAAAGGAGGACTACTCCATGGAAGAAGTGGGAAGAACAAAAGGGGAAAAGGTGGAAACCATCTTTTGGGGATGCCTCCTCTCTTCTTCAACCTTGAGATGGAATTTCCTTGGGGAAATCTTCCCAAAACCTCCTTTGAAGCCATGCTCTAACCTCTTCTTTTCTTTGGTTCTGTTTCTCTCACTAAAATGCAAAAGAAGGTGTTTCTCTCACAAAAGTGGCTCCCCTCTCTCTCCTCCTTGCAGCTCAGCTTTTAAACCCGAGAAGAGCTGAGTTCACGGTCGTGAACCATCAAACGCGTCCGTGAACTCAAGCCTTGCGCCAAAGCACTCCGCATCGCTCTCGTAATTTTACGGGCAATTGCTTGTGTTCACGATCTTAGTGATTGTGAGCTCGTCTTGCGTCAGTAACCTTCAACTTGGCTCTGGATGCCTTGCGCACCACGGTCAACTCCCCTTCTTCACGATCTTGCACGACCGTGAACTCCTGTCTTTAGCCGTGAACTTGCATTTTTTCACCTCTTCTCCCGGTTTTTGATCCTTTTCGCCAATCCTTCGACTCCGAGGCTGGTTCCACCTGTTAAATCCTGAAAAGCACTTAAACACGAAGAACCTCGCGTAAAACTTTAATGAGCGAATTTTGCACAAAAATCTAAGCAAACCGGGGGCAAAATATGTGCAATTAGGCCAGAATCACTGATCTTCAAAGAAAAGTTGTTAAGGAAGAAAATAAGATGTCTGGGGTGATATTGTGGAGTAGGTTCTGAAGAAAAAGTCTACCTATGCTCTAAACACAAAGCGTACAGCTAGGCAGCTTCAACTTTAAGCACAATTAGAAGCTGAGAGAGCACAGAGACAAGCTAAAAAGGAGAGTTTTTAACTAAGAAGTAAACAGGTGGAGGAGCAGATTGCGCAACAACAACAACAACAAAACACTCACTTAAGAAAAAAAGTTTGAGAAGATTGATGCATCACATAAAAACCTTGAAGCTACTGTTCTTCAGCTGACTGCAAAGATGAATGGAATTGGAAGGTATTGGGATTTAAATTTATTGTTGATTTTTTGTTGTGATTGGCACAATCTCATATATGGTCGTACTTAATCACATGTAAGTAGATAAGAAGGCTTGGAGATCCTTAATTAGCAGCTATGAAGGCTTAAGTAGTGAACTAGTAAGGTAGATGTTTAGATTATGAACTAACGTATGTGAATGCTTGTTGTGAAGTGGTATTGTTTTGGATGTTTGGCAGCTATGAGTGCTTGCTGTGAAGTAGACTTCTTTTGGATGTTTAAGGTTAGACTTTCTTTGGACGATTGAGTACTCTGGAATGTGGATGTTTGAGTACTCTGTTGGATGTTTGGCAGCTATGAATTAAATAGATTTCATTTGACAATTATGAATGTTTTGAGTGTTGTTTTGAATGGCAGACTATGAATAAAAGGACGATATTTACCTACAGTCTAGGCTGCAGGGAGTCCCTGCAACCACTTCACCTGGCCACACGAGATTGGTTTCTTTTTCTTTTCCTATTTTTAAATTCTACTACCTCTCACTAACAGCCTAGGAGAAGGCTAATGGAAACAGTCTTCTAATTCACTTCTCTCCTTCACTTCTCTCACATGTAGTCCCAAAAAGAAATGCTCTTTTTTTTAAAACCAAAACATCTCATTTTCCACAATGAAATATGAAATCAAACCAAGTCCAAATTGTCAAAGAAAATAACAAAACAATGTTCTCGGAAACAAAAATCACAGGAAAATTCTTCAGAAAATTTATTGAAATATTTGAAAAGATGAACATAATTTACTATATCATAATCCTTTTCTCCCCATTTCGTGAGGGTCAAAATATCATAATCTTGTTCTCCCCCTTTGGTTACTGCAGAGCAAATATGACTCTAAGTTGATGTGGCAGGCTGATGGAAAGTGGATCGGAAATAAAATTTCTTTCTTTTTCTTTCTTAAAAAAGTTTGTAGGTGTGCTCATATGATATTATACTATGGTAAATGCGTTTTGTCACCTAAAAATAAAATAAAATATCACAAATATAGTGACAAGAAATTTTGTCACTAAAAATTATTTTGACATAAGAGCAACGTCAAAAATGCATCTTGTATGATACCTCATGTGACAAAAGCATTTGTCACTTAAAATCTTCATTATGACGCCAAATATTTGTCACTGAAACTACTATACAGTTGTGACAAGCTGCATTTCAGTTTGTCACAATACATCTGTTATGACGTGCTTTTGGTACCAAACTTGTTTTGTCACAATGTTTGTCATAACAGATTTTAAGTGACGAAATCGTGACTTGTTATGACAACTTTTCTAGTCACTATAGACGTTTTTTCTTGTAGTGTGGTATGCTACAAGTGTTGTGGTAGTGCTACCAGATCGAGTGGTACTTTATATTTATGGAAAGAAAAATAAGTGGGAAATTTCAGTACTTTTATTTACGAAAAGAAAATAAAAATTAATTTATCGTTTTGAAAAGTTACCGTTTATTTATACTTTATAAGTACTTTGACTAAAAAATATTAAAAGTACATATATGAGAGATAAATAATTTTTTTAAAAACCTTGAAAAATGTTTGAATTAGTGAAAGTACACAATGCATTGATCAAAACAACCCGCAACCCGATTCGCTTGTAACCCGCCCGACTGATAACCCATTCACGTTGTAACCCTACTGATCTGCAACCATATCAACCCGCAAACCGACCGACGTGCAACCTAATTAATCTGTAGCTCGATTGATCCGCAACTCAATTAAACCAAAGCCAACTGACTCACAACGCGATAAACCCGACTAATCCTTAACATGATTGAACCCAACCCGAACCAGCCTAATTGACACCTCTGTTTGACATGTGGATGTTGTGGAGAAAACACGAATCATCCAAATTAAAGTGTGACAACGAGAATAAATACTTTTGAGAATTTTCTTAAGTAATAGTGAAAACGAAAAATTGGGTGCTTGTACTTCAATTATCATATATATTATAAAAATTAGCGGCCTTGTCATGGTTTTGTTGTTTTGTTGTTGTTGTGCCCTTGTGAGTGGATTAAATTGGCCGGCGATACAGTATCCTCTTCTCATGTTGTCGTTTTTTATTCCGGTCCTTGTCTCTTCCCTGTAGGATAACAATATTTTTTTGATAATGTGTAGGATATCAGCCTTTCATTTTCGTCCCTTGGGTGGCTGGATTATCATATTCAGTTTCATCTCAACTCTTCAAACGCACAACAATAACAAGAAGTAAAGCTCCCCTGCTATTCCAGTAGCCCGGCCGAAGGAAATTTGAGCATGGCGGCGGCGAAGAAACCTCCCCATGTCCTTATGGTTCCGCACCCAGCACAGGGCCACATCTTTTCTATGCTTAAGTTGGCACAAAAGCTGGCGAACGAGCATGGGATCGCTGTGACGGTCGCCAACTTGGAGTTCATCCACAGAAAGATCGCCGAGCAGAGCTGTGGTACAGGGATCAGGCTGATTTCTGTTCCCGACGGGTTTGAATCGCCGGGGGACGCGGACGATTGGCTGAAGATGGCAGAGTGCTTGGAGAAAGTAGTGCCCGTCCAGCTGCGGAAGCTACTGGAAAAGCAAAAGGAGTCGGCGGTGGGTTGTGATGGCGAGGGTCACGACCAAGAGATCAGTTGGGTCATCGCCGATGCCTTTGCTTCGGGAGCGTTCGTGGTAGCCACGGAAATGGGGATCAAATCGGCCGCGCTGTGGACTGCCTCCATGGACAACTTGGCCTTGTTGTTGCGGCTTCCGCAGCTGATTGAAGCTGGTACTATTGATGAGAACGGTAATCACTGTAAATTAAAATCATTGACTCCCCCTGTTTATAAATCCTTTTATAAACCACGTACTAGTACTACATACATACTGAAAGCATTTATAATTAGATTTGACTTAGTAAAAAGCCATGTTTTTTTATTATTTTTTGTATGATAAATTCTCCGGAGATATCAAATCTCTTATAAATTTACAGAATATAGCTCTAATACTATATTGAGAGAGGCGAGATCCACATCTAGATTTGGAGGATGATTTTCTTTTCGATTAAATATCACTAAACATTGAACATTTTTAAAATCTCTTTTTAACAACCATGGGAGTTATAATAATTTAATTATTTAGAAACTAGAAATTTAGAATCCAATTTCCTAAATACATATAGCACATTTGATACATGGAATTATTTGCTAATTTAATAATCATTATTATTGATTGCTCTTATAAATTGTCAATAATTTTTTACAATTAGCATCAAACATTTAAATGTAATTAGCTCAAATAGACGTATAAGACACCATATGTATTCATGTCATAACTAATCAGTATTCTATTTTAATAACTATGGTTTCTATTACACTAACAACAGGATTCTTTTTTTTTTTTTTTTTACAAATTGCAGGATTCTTGTTGAATAATCTTGAATCAATCTCCCTATCATATGGAATCCCTGCCTGGAAAATTAATGAGTTGACTTGGAACTCTCCTGGAGCGCCTGACGATACTCAGAAATTCCTTTTCACACGCTTTTACATCAACGTGTCACGCTACTCTCACCTTTTCGGCTGCTTGCTTGTCAACTCATTCCACGAATTGGAGACGTCGGCCTGTCAAATGTTTCCTGATACCCTGCCAATCGGTCCACTGGTATCGGAGCCCGATTCGAGACGACATAATAATAATAATAATAATAATGTCGTCGTCCCTGCCGGAAGCTTCTGGCAGCAGGATTCGACTTGCGTGCCTTGGCTGGACGAGCAACCTCCAAACTCGGTGTTGTACGTCGCATTTGGAAGCATTACGGTGGTGAGCCAGCAGCAGTTCTCAGAGTTGGCGTTGGGCCTTGAAATGACGGGCAAACCGTTCCTCTGGGTTATCCGGCCAGATTTCGTGAAGGGGTCAACAACTGAATTTCCACAAGGATTTTGGGAGAGGGTGGGTTGCAGAGGGAAGGTTGTGGGGTGGGCGAACCAAGAAGCTGTGCTTTCTCATCCTGCCACCGCATGTTTCGTAAGCCACTGTGGGTGGAACTCCACGCTAGATGGGTTGTGTGCCGGAGTTCCATTCTTGTGTTGGCCTTACTTTGTAGACCAATTTCATAACCGAGACTCCATATGTGAAGCTTGGAAGGTTGGCCTCAACCTGGAGGCTGATGATGAAACCAGGATGGTGACCAGGTCTGAGATAGCGAGCAAGGTGGGAAGACTTCTCTCTGATGACACCATAAGATGCAATTCACTCAGGCTTAGGGGAAGTGCAAGGGATAGTGTGACAGAAGGTGGCTCTTCCTCCTTCAATTTCGCAAGCTTCGTCCATCGCCTATGCTCACTCACTTGATGCATGTTCAGTTCGGAACTAGTTAGTTAAGGGTCGCTCCCACTTCTATCCTTCCACCAAATTATTTCTTTGTTTTGTTTTTTCTATTACTAATGTTTAAATTGTGGCTTTAAGACTGAAAGAGTAGTCGCGTTTTTGTTGTTTCATATAGCAGGGCATTGTTTATCTCCAATGAATGAATGAATGAAAACTGCATGTGTTGTGCATACTTTTTATATCTCTAACTTTAGACTTCGAGTTAATAATACATTTTAAATCTTTAATTGATAATACATTTTATAGTGGTCGTTATTAATATATTTTAGACTTCAAGTTGATAACTCACATCATTGTCATATATACATGTTAGTATAAATTTTGTAATATATTATAAATAGTTTATAAAGTCTACAAATGAAAATATGTATTGTATACACCTGAAATACAAAAGTCTACCAATAGATGGAAAAATAGTATAATAACTCGCCAAAAACTCTATATGATGCAAAGACCAACAACAACAATAGAAAAGGGAGAATTAATAGGAAGAATATACACTAAAACCTAATTAAAGGGGTTTCATAATATGGAGTTGCTTGCTCAACTATCATGTGTTATTTGTCCAATGTGTTGCAGCGATGAAAGAAAGGATAGCCGAAGACCTAGCTCTTTCACGAATGTTTTCTTTTTCAAATATATCTCGCAAACGAAAACAACAAGATACACAAATATATACATAACCTTAATAGGTCAAACCACAAAGTAATAAATAAGAGACGTTCGTCGACTAGAAGACGATACAACGATAAGAGGGCTCTTTCCCAAATGCTTATTTAGAAGTTTATATAATTTGCTTTTTTTTACTGTCAATGGATAGATTCTTCGTATAGATGAGTTGTAGGTTGCGTTTTCATGGATTGGACAAGTTTTATCATGAGAGAGATTAAAGAGGAAAAGATAAAAGATTTTTCAAAAGAGAGAGGAAAGCTAATGTCATACTGATATGGACGGGTTATTCATGGTTACTCATTATAAGATTACTGATATGATCCACTCCCTTAAATATGTATGAAATGAAATAGAATGTCTTTCTTTGAGGATTTAGTCTTTTTCCTTCACTCAGTGAATGATAGCGAACGTTTGGGGGAAAAAATTTTCTTGCTCCCCTCAGGCGTTACATGATGGTTGTAACATACTCATTCAAAAGCGTGAGTGAGTTTGGTTTCCAAAGTCTTTTACCTTCTCTGATTCAATTTGATGTACTTTGCTACTTCCTTTCGTTTATGATTTGGGCATTTGGAATTTTCTTTCTTTCCCAACTAATTACTTCGACTCTAGGATTTACGATCATCGAGCAAGATGTTTGTATCATTCTGGTACCCGGTAGAGGAGCAACCATGGCACAAGTCAGAATTTTACTCCATTAACTATGGTTGGATCGCTTTGGAGACTTTATCAGGTAGTTCTAACCTGGCAATATCAGCCCCAGGAGGAGGACGCTCAGAAGCCGGGGTGGCCAGTGCGTTTTTCCTTATGTTTTCAGTAATCTCCATATGTCTGTATTTTGTGGGTTATACTGTTGCAAAGCCCAAAAGCATTCCCTTCACAACCATGGAGGCTCTATAAATTCTTTTAACAGTGACTGAGACATATACACATTCCGCTTAGTAAATGCATTTTGTGGTTATATATGTGGTTGCGGCTAAATAGCTCATTTATGGGGTTTAGTTTGAGTGCACCAATTAGCTTGTGGTCATATATGCAACACATTTCGATGAACTTGCGATGCGATGCATTTTACATGATTGCGGCATGGTGCAGTTAGACCGCACCGTTTGCCCACCCGTACTGCTAATGGAGGATAAACCTAGTGCGACATTCTCCTTAATAGAAAGAACTAACTCTAATTACTCTATTGTAGTACTAAGCTATTATGCTACTTCTATCAAACTATTAATATGAAAGCATATAACTAATTTCATTCATATTCACTAGTTCTGACAAAACGGCTAATTAACAAATATATAGGTTGTAGCCCTAAACCCTATCGATTCACAAGGTAGTCAATTGTAATAAAATACCTAAACAATAATACTTAATTAAGCATTATATGTTTTTCATGGATGGCATGGGCGTGCTAGGTGAGGCCTACATGTACATACCGTTATGGTATATGGGCTTGAGTTTGTTTGCATTCGGAGAATTGTTAAGTGGGCTCATTTTTTAGTATGTTAGGTGGGCTCTTATGTCTATGTATGTGGTTGCTTGGAGAGAAACTACACCTAGCAGTGTAGGACAAGGAGTTTTGATGCGCCTCCAGCTGAGGGTGCGGATAGCATAACAACACCCTAAGTGTTGTTATTATAACAACAAGGGCATAACCGTAAATGACAATAAACATAATTAAAAAAACACTATTTCATCCTCTGTCCCATTCAGATCTCATCGTCGCCGTCTCAGCCCCTCTCTCCCCAAAATGCCCGCGACGGAGGAGGAGACACCAATCGTCGTCGCCGCCGACGTCTCCCACCACATCCAGCTGTCAGATCTCATCACTCACCATTGTCCCGGGGCCAAGATTAGGGTGGTCCTATCGCCGCCGAAATCGCTCAAAACCGTCTCTCCGCCTCCTTCGTCGCCGTCGTCGAGTGGGGACTGGTCTCCTCTCACCCCAGACTACTACTATCGCCAATCGCGTTGCGGCTGCCACTCTCCGCCGATTGGTTTCCGCAGCGGAGTTCGTGGAAATTCCAGTCCCCGCTTTCAATCGGACAACGCATCATACCCGTTGCGGCAGGGTTCGGCGAACTTGATGATTGGAATGAAACAAAATTAGTCGAATTAGGTTATACAAGTTTGGATACGAGATGAGATGATGATGATGACGATGAAATTTGTGAAAGTTTGGATTCTTCTGTCGAACTTGCGAAATTTTCCATTTCCAATCGCCGGTTTCGTCAAAATCCGGACTTCCGGTAGCTTTATGCGACGGTGAATTTGGTACTACCGTTAGGTTTCGGTCGCCGCCGCAGCTGACAGACAGCTGCCCGTTCCCGTATCCCCACCGGCCGCCTCAGTCCACATGCAAGATTCCAACTTTAGGTTCTCTCTTTGTCTCTCTGCTTGGCTGTGGGCAAGGATCAGAATATCAATATCCCAGAACATAAAAGTAACAGAGAAAAAAAAATGTGCTTTTTACCTTTTGTTTCATGAATTTGGGCTGCTTCCTACCTCCAAATGACTAATTAATAGCACCCCTGAAAGTCCCTACAGAAAGTGTTGTGTGGTAAGCAAAACATACATATGACGATGATGGTCCAATAGAATTCGAACTGTACAAGATTCCCAAATGAAAGGTCCAAAATTAATGAAACTTATTGCTTGAGTGAATTTATCCATACGAGTGCCATGAAAGAAAGAATGATTCACAGGCAAATGCACATGATGGTTTTTTCCATTGCTGGTGAGAAACTGGACTGTAAAAGGTTATATGACTGAGGGCCTGAGGCGCTGTTGTGGTGGGTGGCGCTCCGGTGGCGGGATTTGGCAGGGTGGCGGTTGTTAGAAGTACTAATTATCGGGATACTAATCAACTTACGCATAGTTAATTCGTTAAATGCCATCTTTTGAAGGATTTTTGAATGTCGACATTGAAAGTGTTGGCATATTTTTACAAGTTCGAGTAATTTCAAGTTCACTTGAAAGCATATCAAAAGTCTTGGAATGCACATCATAAATCTTATAAAACATACTACAAATATCACAAAAGCATACCACAATTATTTAGAAAGCATACCAGAAACCTCTCAATACAGACTATAAATTGCCTAAAACATACTAGAAACACCACAAAGCAAACCACAACTATTTCTAAAACACACCAAAAACCTCCTAATGCAAACCACAAATGCGATAAAACAAACCAGAAACTTCTTAATGCAAACCAGAAACCTCCTAATGCATACCACAAATCTCCTAAAACAAACCAGAAACCTCACAAAGCAAACCACAAAAGTTTCGAAAGCACACCAGAAATTTCTTAATGCAAACCAGAAACCTCCGAATGCATACCACAAATCTTTTAAAACAAACCACAAACCTCGCAAAGCAAACCACAACATTTGCGAAGCACACCAGAAACATCCTAATGCAAACCACAAACACAGTAAATCAAACCACAAAAAAGCAAACCATAAACGTCCCAATGCAGACTACAAATATATTAAAACAAACCAGAAACCCCTCAATGCAAACCACAAAGTTTTTGAAAGCAAACCAGAAACTTCTCAATGCAAACCAGAAATTTCTTAATGCAAACCACAAACACGATAAAGCAAACCACAAAAGGCATACAAAAATATGAGAAATCAAACCATAAATCTCACAATGCAGACCATAACATTCGGTGGTCGTTGACCGGTCAACGAAGACCGTTGACCGGTCAACGAAACCCGTTGACCGGTCAACGAAACCCGTTGACCAAACTCCGATGACCGTCAGTGAGTAGATTCCGGCGCCGATAGGCATATTCCGGCCCCGATGACTAGATTCCGACGCCGGTAAGCATATTCCGACCACGGTAAGCATATTCCGGCGACAGTGGCATATTCCGATGACAAAAAAGCATATTCCGATGACAAAAAAGCATATTCCGGCGACAAAAAAGCATATTCCGGTGACCGGCGACCAGATTCCGGCGACCAAAATTTTGGGCCGAAAATAAAAAATATTTTTTTTTTATTTTTTTTTTACTTTTTTATTATTTAAACAGATTTTTCATAATGACAATTATACCCCTGCTTTGATTTTACACTAGGTCAACTCATCTAATAAAAAGTCATCACAACCCTAGCTTCCTATTGGTTGGAGACTAGTGTTGTTACAATAACAACACAAGGGGTGTTGTTATAGTATCTAGTCCCTCCAGCTGACCGGCGAGCGAGAGGAAGCATCTGGGTGAGGACGGAAACCCCCGCTCATTAAGAGGGAAAGCCCGACCGGGGAACTTGACGCCGAACCGGGAACAGGTACAGACATACCCCGAGCGATTAATCAGAAAGCCCGATCGGGGATTTTCAAGGGTCCGACCGGGGATCGGGCCTGGTGACGGGAATTATTCCTTTTTGTGTTATTTTGATTATTTTAATTGTCCAGATCTATATAAAGGCTGAAATTCGGATTTTAGGGTTAGTTTTTAGCAGAATATTGATTTTTATCTTGGTTTTGAGCT